GTAAATTTCATAAAATTGGGATAAGATTTTAGGATTTATTAATCAAATATGTTGGGGAAATGTTAAGGCCTCACCTCCCAGCTGGTTGCTGCATCATGCTGGCTCCGGCTGGTTTGTGCTCCAGAGCTTGTATATCCTGAACTGTAAGTCGACCTAGCCGAACCCCAGCCGGACTCAGCAGTGGTGAGTGATGCTGAGCCTTTCCTAGGGTGTATCGAAGCTGCTGTACAAGCAACCAGCCTTCCCAGGCCATGTTAACAAATGGGTAGGCTGCCAAAAAGGCTCTGTAAAATCGTTTCCAGCGGGAAGTAGGGGGATGCAATGGAATATTCATCCTCTTCTCTCAGGCTAGAAATCAGCTTCTCCAGCTTCACTTTCAGACTGGGAAGAAGAACCAGGAAAATAACTGACTTCCAAAGCTGCTTCTTTGGGAGACCAGCACTGGCCAATCTCTGAAGCTTGTGTGTGTCTCCCATTACGATCCTCTTTAAGCCATAAAGGTTTTCAGAAAACGAGGCGCTGGTTTTAGACAGATAATGTTGCTGGAGCAGAAGACCTAGCAGGGTGAAGATTTCATCAAACCACTTCCACAAGAAGCCCTAGCGGGCAGGATTTGATTCTGCAAGAACCTAAAGCAAAATAAATAAATGAAATTCATTCCATTACACAGCTACTATGCCTTGTATTTATATTTCCTTTTTTTCCCTCTGAATTCCCACACTTTTCTTTCTGGGTCTACCTTAACCTCCCTTTAGTGCTGGGTATTCAGTACACATAACAAGAGACTCCATAACCATTAAATCATGTGATGTGCATTATATGCTAATTGGTTATTTCAAAACTTAGGCCAACAAATAAATTCAGATTATTGGCTTGGTTTTTACCCGGACGTTCCTAAAACTTTTCAGAGAATTAAATCCTTACCTTGACCACATGATGAAGAGCAGGTCTCACTGCTGTCATTAAACTGTCCTGTGCTACCACCTCAAAGCTGGCTGGCTGGCTGGTCATCCACCGCAGAAGCAGTTGTGATATGAGCCCCGTGCTCAGCCATAGTTTCGTGTGTGCACTGGGTTTCACTTTGCCCACAAACTCTCTAGTAAGCATGAACTTTCTGGGGGTGCCAGATGGGTGCTTTTTACAGGAACTGGGCAAAAAAGACCTCTTCCGGAGGCAGAGGGGAGGGGCCTCAAGGGAAGGTGAAGAATGAAGTCAACGCGGACACCCACGTTAGGGAAGCAGTGTGGGGGAGAGGTGAGTTGATTAATGCTGCACCTCACAGGGAAAAGCGTGACTATGGGGGGACAGGTACGGCGAAGGAGCGCTGGCCTCTCGAGCGGCAGTCCTGGAGGCGGCCAATCACGGACTCCCAATCCGGAGGGCTCAAAAGCCAGGCGGCTCTGAGGGATCGAAGGTGCCAGTGCAGGCCGGCCCCAACGGCCTGGCTCAGCTGTGGGCTGTGCAATCCCCCCGCCCGCGCCAGTCCTTGCGAGCTGACTCCAGGCGAGGAGCGAGGAACCCGCGACGCCGCGTTTAAAAGCGGGTCTCGGCTTTATGTCAGAAGCCGCAACCGGAAATAGAAGCCGCTTGGAGCCCGGTGGCCGTGGAGAGGCGCTCTAGCCCCGAACGCGGCTCCGCGACCGGAACTAGAGAACTCTATGGTCTCACAGGGACTTCCGCTTCCGCCCCCAGCGGGCTCGGTTGGAGAGGAGTTTTCCGCTGGTAGGTTTTATTTTTCTTAGCTGGTTTTGCATCGCTGTGTTGTTGGAAAGCCACGGCTCTGATATCTCTCTACAGAGTCTTTTTGGCAAGGTGTTGGGTCGCCGCACTGACGTATGGCGCCCGGAGCCAGAGCTCGGCCTGTTGCTGAGGCCTTTGTTCCCTGGGGCGATAGAGAGAGGCGAGGGACCCAAGGGAATGTGGAGATGGAAGGCTCACTTTGCTTGCGGCGGGGGTGGTGGCTCACTATTTTTGCCGCCTTCGGGAAGGATTTGAAGCGACAAAGCCGAGATAGAAGGCTTAGCCTTATGGCTGCCAATTATTAACAACAAAAATTTCCTGCTGTTGTTCAGAATTTGGGACGATTATTTTTCATTCAAGCTGGTACCTTAATTGTCTTCTAGGTTAGATTACGTTCAAGCAGAACTCTGGGCACTTGCTACACTAAATGAAAATGGTTCCTGCCCTCAAACACGGTAGGATGCGTCACATTAGCGATATGAATACAGTGCTAAAACGGAGTGATGCTGTTGAATTCTAACTAGCATGAATTGGGGAGGCTTGGCAGAGAAGGTACTTTTCATTGTGTACCAAAGTTAATGTAATTAACCTGACCTTTTGCAAACTGCTTTTACATCGTATGCAATTGCCTTGAGTAGCTGCAGGTTTACTGAATTTGGATAATAAAGTTCATCTCTCTCTCCAACCTCTCCCCTCAACCCCTGGGCTAAATAGCTAGAAATAGAAGTTTGCTTACTTTATACCATAGAGGACGTTATGGTATAAAGTTAGTTAATTGTTTCACATAATGAGAACGCTGGAACAAGGTTTGGGTTTAGTTGTTTCAATAGGAGAAATAAAATCTTGCAAATTAACCTTAATTGTGGTTCCAAAAAGTGTTTCAGGGAATTCCCTGGCGGTCCAGTGGTTAGGACACTGTGCTTCCACTGCAGGATGCATGGCTTGGATCCCTGGCCAGGGGAACTAAGATCCTGTATGCAGCGTGGCCAAAAAAAAAAAAAAAAAAAGGTGTTTTATAGTTTGATTGGATACCTGCTGGAGAAAGTCACATTGATGGAAGATTTTACCTTACAGAGTTTTAAGGAGTAGAGATAATGTATCTATATAAAACACCTACCTTTAGGTTCTTGGTCAGTGGTAGCTCTTACAGAGAGGCTTTTCTTAAGTGAACAGCAAAAAGACAAAGTTGAGAAATAGCATCACCTAAGACGAGTGGGAAGTTAGTTAAACATTGGTATCAGTTAGGGTTCTTTGGTTACAAGCAACAGAAAACAGGCTAATTTAAACTAAAAAACTTATTAGAAGAATATGGAGTAGCTAACAAAATAAGGAAAACCAGCTCTGAGGGAACAGGAATTACACAGTCCTACTGGATGTTTCTAGCAAGAATTAGCAAAGTGTCATACAGGCATCGCTGTTGCAATGAACGAGCTTCAACAAATTTCTGTCACTGTACTTATGATTCAGATCCCTATTGACTGACCTTGGTTCAGATTTCATCTCCACTCGCTGTTTCACTCTTAGCCAGAAGAGTGCAAAACACCTTAATAGTCCTTTGAGAATATTTCAAAAGTAAACTGATGTTGTTATGTGAGAAAAAAGGCAGTCAAAAATAACAATGTCAATTATTACAGCCAATAAATAATAAACACCTCATCACAAATCCCACTCCCAGGTTTATGGTGTAATAAGCAAGACACAGAAATTGATTGCACTTATGTTAAAACAGGTGTGACAAGCCATCAGATAGGTTAATATGGTGAGTTTAGAGGAAGAGACAATAACAGCTGGGAGAAATGAGGCCGTTCAAACTAGCTTAAACAGAAGCTATATTGGCCTTTGTAACCAAGGGGAAGATCGTTTCTAACCTCACGTTTTATCTCAGCTTCTTTCTGCCAGTTGCTTTCTAATACAGCGATGTAACCTGGTATCTCCTGCATCTTATATCAGGACCAGATGTCCACTGAGAAAGTTTTGTGGATTAGGTGGACCTCAAAAGATGAGTACATTTGGGGAAAGTCACAGTCATGGTGACAGGGTTTTCCAGGCTAAGGGAGCAGCGTGGGTTGTATTTGAGGAGGAAATTGTTTGCTTTAAATATAGAGAGGAAAATAGACCAATAATACATAGTCTATACTGTTGACCATAATATAGAGGCTCTTAAATGCTAGTTTTAGTACTTTGCTCGTGGACATTCATTCATTTCTTCCTGAATAATTTACTTATTCATTTATTACTGAATACATGCTGTGCGCCAAGCATTATGCTAGGCGCTGGGTAGACAGTAGTAATAAAAACAGACTTGGTATCTGCCTTCGTGGAATTTACAGTCTAGTTGGGGAGAGAGATACTAAACAAGTAAAGAGACTAATGTATAATTTACAAATGGAATAAGAGGGCTATGATGGGGGTGGCAGTGGGGCCTGGGAGAGAAGAACCTTTTAGACTGGGTAATCAGGGAGTGCCTTTATGAGATTACAATTAAAGTGAGACCTAAATTATAAGCCAGCCAGCCCTGTGTGGAGTTGGGGAAAACGAATATTAGGTAGGAGGAGCGGTAGTTGTGAAGGCCCTAGGATGGGAAAGAGCTTGGCCTATTTGAGAGCTGCAAAAGCTAACAAGAGGTGAAATGAAGAGGAAATGAGGAGTGACTGAAAAGGATAAAATGATATTAAGAGAGGTAGACAGGAGCCTAACCACTCATAGGCCATGGGAAGGAAACTGGATTTTAGTCAAAGTATAATGGGAGGTCATTGAAGGATTTATACACCGGAGTCATGACCAGGTTTATATTTTTAAGATGACCCCGTAGTGGTTACGTGGTTACATTTACTTTGTGAAAATTCATCAAGCTTTATATTTTTGGTGTGCACTTTTTGGAATGTTCGTTTATACTTCAAAAAAATGAAACAAAAATCTGGCTGCTGTATGAATAATGGGAGGAGAGTTGAGGTTTCTAGTAGTTCAGGCAAGAGGCGATGGTGGCTTGGAATAATGAGGTGAATAGAAGGGATTGGATGAATTTGAAATATATTTTGAAGGTAGGATTGACAACTTGGAGATGGAATGAATGTGGCAGTTAAGAGAGAGAGAAATCAAGAATGACCCCCAGATTTCTGGCTAGTAATTTCTGGCAGTGTAATTTGTTCAAATAATTGCAATCATAGCAAATATTTACATAGTCCATACTATGTGCAGGCATAGTTCTAAGTGCTTTACGTACACGAATTCATTTCATCCTTGTAATAATATTATGATTGGATATTAGTATTTCTCCCATTTTGTAGATGAGAAAACTAAAGAGCAAAGAAATGGGGAAAACTGGGAGAAGGATCGGTTCTGTACAAATTAGGAAATGAGGAGCTGTTGAAAGTTTTTGAACCGGGGAGAGGTATGAATCAAAGATTTTTCTGGTGGCATCTCTTTACAAAATCCACCTCTGTCTTCTGTGAGTTGTACCTGGAACCACAGTTTTTAAACACCCCCCCCCATTACTCTTATGATTTGCTTAATTTGGGTGGGCCATATGTGCAGACTTACGATCAGTGCGGTTAGCAATTTGGTGGTGAAGTTTGGGGACTAGGTCAAGGCTAGAGATAGATATTTTGGAGTCATATGGGTAGGAAAAATGATTGAACCCATGGTATTGCTAAAGGGTTAGTGTAAAGAAAATGTATGAATATAGAACTTAAAAATAAAATGCTTGCTACTTTCTCCCTCAGACACCATCCTATATCTCTTCTCTTTCAGCTATACTTTCTTATGGAGTTATCTGTTTTCATTTCCTTACCTCCCGTTTATTTTCAGACTTCTTCAGCATGGCTTTTGCCTTCAGTATCTCTGCTGATGGTCTCAGCAATGACATCGAAGACCTTTGTGCTGCTAAATCCTTGGACACTTTTCGGCCCTTCCTCCTTTTCTCTCTAGCAACTGTTGTTGTTGACCACTCACTCATACATTTATGCATTCAACAAATTTTGGGGAGGGGGTGGCTAGGCCTCAGAGATATAGTATATAGTTCCTATACTTTCATAGAACTCTAAAAACGTCCTAAATGATTATGACCACCTGCTTTTCCTTCTGCCTCTCTACTTCTCAGTCCCCTTTGCACTTTGGTTTCCCAACTTCTGCCTCAGGCTCTCATTCTTCACATTCCTCTTCTTTTTTTGGTTAAAGACTTTATTATTACTTAGAGCAGTTTTAGGTGGGAAGTTTTCGTTTTGAGGGGAAGGTACAGAGATATCTAGGTCTTGGTTTCTGAAAGGAACTTACTTTTGTGTAAGCACGCCT